AATACCACCTCATGTCAATAAAGCAGATTAACATGAAGATTTTGAACAGGTTACAACAATTATAAGACTTATAATAGTTGGGATTTTCATAATATCCGTTCCTTCAAACATGTCATGACGGGATCGGTCTTGTTTAAGCTACATCATCAGCTGTTTGATCAGTGATGCTGGAAATTACATGAAAACTTCACCGAGTTATCAAAACAACCCACTTCAGTTATATGAAGTACTCTTTTATCGGTTTCCAATTTTTCTCTTGTTAGTACTTTTAATCTTTTAATGTTTATCTAAATCTTTAACAACCCATGCAAATATAACCATTAATTTTTTTTGTATCATACAACAAATGTGTAAGAAATTTTTTTCTATCAACATATGAACTATTGCTTATATTTTATAAAGTTTATTTATCACAAAAACCTTTTAAAGGGGGAAGGTTATACAAGGATTATACAAGGTTTTATAAATTTTGTTTATGTAACTATGGCGTGGAAATGTGTATTTATATTATTTGTTTGCATTAAATAAAGCAGTATTATTTTTTACAAATGGTAAAATCTGAAGTATTATAAATAGTTTGATCTGCAATACATTTTAATGATAGTATTTTTTATCTTTGCACCTAAAGCAAGAAAGCATGGCTTGTATAACGATACAAGCAATATAATACCGAGCAACAAGATGTTTATTGAATAAATAGTTGCAAACATTTTAGTTTTGACATATTCGTGTTGTGTCAGATATTAATATTCCAACTTTGCAATAGGGATAACCTGGTTCAAAACGTTCCTTCATGGAATGTGACAAATTCCTCAAATTCTACGTGACTTTATTTATCCATAGAATTTATGAGACGAGGTGTAATTTGATAACACTGGTGTCAACTTGAACTATGTTTAATTGCCACGATTAGAAAATAACTGTGTTTTAAGGGGATTTAATCATTTGTGTGACTGTATGAAAACCCGTGCAAAGGTTTAGGTTTCAAACAATGTTGTAGACCTCTTTTAAGTTCGATTATATCTCACTCCACCGATTCTAACTAATAATGACAAGCAATCAAGAATCTAATTCTCTGTAATCTGACAATATCAGATTAAATATATATATATATATTTTACTGTTGCAGTTGTGTTCATATGTTGAGTAAAATAGCATAAGGGGGCTTCAACACTTGCTGTAAAATAATAATATAACGCCTGAAAGTTGTGGACTACCCATTGACCATACATCAAAAGCAAATCAGTAGTCTGTAAGTAAGTCTGTAGTCATTGTAAATCTGTACCACTTTTTTTATAATATACAGAATACGTGTAATATTTGACAAAAAATAAACATTTATTGAATGTCTACTGTGTTTTCTTTTCTATATTATTGTAAATATCATTTAAAACGGTTGGAGTTATGATCCATGCATCCATTTTGCGATTAAATTGTTGTTAACGATTTATTACAAATCATTAGTCATAAAACATTCAAAAGTTCCTATTTTATTTCGTCAAAGTTTTCTCATGGCGTACGAGTTTTGTTACTATACATAAACGGCATACAATCCACAGAACAATTTAAACATCTATAAACAGTTACTTTCCACTTCTATGAATATAGTTATAACTATAAAGGATGTAAAAGAATTTTCTACCTTAAAAATGATTAAAAATGTTTTTCAACATTCTTCATAAGGCATGAGGCTATAGTAGTTTTTATACTGTACTATTTCCTGTGTTACATATACTCTGTTTTATTATATATATATATCTGTCCTCTATTAACTGTGTTTTTTTTTCTTTTCTTTAATAAAAGGTTCTCTGTTTTCCGTTTCTTGTTTTGCGTTCTCCTTTTAAACGTGTTTTATTAAAGCTACTCAGTTTTAGGTCTAACTTAAATAATACACCTCCAAAAACACAATGCAATATTTTTATGTGTAAAGTTGTATAAATGACAATAGCTTTTGACTTAAAATAAACTCGTTGAATAGTTATATTAAATCGAAAATGCATTTTATGGATGTTCGTTGTAGACAATTTTTAAAATAATAAAATTGTTTGTTGATTGAGGATTAATTTATAAATGTATATTTTGGAATTTTGACTTTTAGAAACAGTGTATGTTTTATTTAATAAATCACTATCTTAAGTTTATGTTTATGTAGCCTGGAGAGAAGTTCGCTAATTTTCACCCCAATTAGGATCTCAAAAGTTCTGTCTTTGAGTATTACACAGATAGTCGGCAGTAAAGTTCTGTTTGCGAACTTAACTTAAGATACCTTTAACCAACGTATGTTTCAAAGTATGTTTAGTTAGTTTAGTTCATCAAAAGTAGTTTCTACTTGTAAAATCAAATAACCCAAGTCTTAGAAAAACCAGTGAGGCATAAATAGTCCCATCTATAACAACTAATTTATAAATTTAGTCTTTTGTTTTGTTTTGTAATCTTAAATGCATTTTCACCATAGCCTTGATACTGATATACACATAAGTTTAACTCTGGATGTTTCCCAGCTTGAATTTATCTGATCAAATGACAGTCTAATTTGTTTACTATTGTTGTTGTATTATTTGTCATAGCTATTATTATTGTTGTAGTAAAAACTATTTTTTCGTTAATTTTTTGTGCTTTACATGTAAAACGATTATATAGTTATATTTAGGTAAAAATAAATAATAGATTTCATTTTAAGTTAAAAGTCTTCATCACAAAAGATAGTAAATTATATAAAACAATTGGTACGAATAAACCCCAAACTACTGAAATCCCCTTTGTACAGTAAATGAAATTAATTCTACAATTTCTTTACTATATAAGCAATATAAAGGATGTTAACACACTGTTGACAAAAATCCTGTTTATTTTTTGTAAACCCGCACTATCGCATTTGCCACTTCATTGTATCCTATTTGTATTCATGGATGCTGTTCCACAAGCTCTTTCATTACTCTTTAATAATGCTTACTCTGCTAAACTATTTTTAAAATTGCAAAGTTTTTGGGTTTGAATACCAATTAGAAGGACTTGCCTTAAAAGTTGTTAAATACCTTTTAAGGGAACTTTATTTGTATTGCCGGAAAAAAAAACTCTGAATCATTACAAAAAGTTTCAAATTTACTGTAGCTAACATAATACATTTTAATTTTAATAGATAATTTAGAACGCCGAAAAATAGTTATCAACTTGGTCTAGAGAGTATACATATTGTGTACACTATAAAGTTTATTATACATGATAACAACTTACTTTGGTATGATCAAATTGAATTATTCCACCATTATTCCTGGCCCAATATATTTTAATATAAAAATATGTACAAAAATAGTTCAATTTAGTGACAGCCTAAAACATCTGTGTGCGTAAGTTAGCATGACTCAAAACATGTGACTCAAAATAAAAGTAAGATACTACAGTGAGCGAAATCATTATATTCCAGCACTCATTGGATGAAAGTAAAACGGATTATTCCTGTTGGCAGGATAGGATTATTCAGGCATTAGTCAGCGCTCGTTATAGGGATCCCGTTGTAAATTACGCTTCTGTTTTATGTTAATTGAAGCGTTGAGTAAACCCGTGATGTTATTGCTGGGTATTTTCAGTTATTGAATATTACTTATAAAATAATAATCTGAGTTGGGAAAAAGGAATACGATTTGCATACTGTATATAATTATTAAATGGTGATTGGTATTTTTACCTATATAAAGTTTTGTTGTCTACAAGACTCGTACTAAAATTCCTTAATAATTGCAACAAACGACGCCAGTACTTACTTGTCACATTAAAATGTTAAAAAAAAACATAACATAAACGGTACCTGTAATAACTGTACTTCTAATAATTAATAAGCAAAGAGAACCCGATACTAGGGACAACTTACTAATTAGCATGTTAACTCCGACTGCCGTTCCACTCCGCTTCGTGCCATCGTTCCTAGTCGGTGACGTCACTCAGCAGTGCAGCCAACCACACACACGAACTCAATAATCTTCTGGCAATGTAATATAGCCTTATATATTACACTCGCCCAAACTTAAAATAAAACTCTTCTCTAACGGCCTAACCTTTTTCTTCTAGGCTAAGCCAAATCAACAATTTTTTTTTCTTCTTTTACAATTTTTTTTGTTTGTTTATAAGCTTCACAAAATACTTCAGTAATACTAAATAAACTTTTCTTCTTCAAATAAAATAAACATAAAATCTTCTCTCTCTAACTCGGCCTTTTAACTTAAAGGTCGAGCCGCTTCGGCTTTTGCACAGTCCTTTGAGATCTCCGAAGTGATGGCGGGCTGCACTGCTGACACACGAAGACACATTGCCAGCCATTGCTATAATGCATTGCTGCTATATTACATTGCCAGAAGATTATTGAGTTCGTGTGTGTGGTTGGCTGCACTGCTGAGTGACGTCACCGACTAGGAACGATGGCACGAAGCGGAGTGGAACGGCAGTCGGAGTTAACATGCTAATTAGTAAGTTGTCCCTAGTATCGGGTTCTCTTTGCTTATTAATTATTAGAAGTACAGTTATTTCATTTGGCGACGAAATTAAATCCGCGTGTGCGTGAAATGTCTAGTATCGGTCGGATATCGGAGTTAAATCCGTACGAAGAAGATATTAGTTCGTATTTGTTACGTTTGAAACACTTTTTCAAGGCCAACGAGGTCAAGGACGTGAAGCAGGTCTCCATCTTGATTACTGTAATAGGCCCTAAAATATTAGCCGTCCTCACCGATCTTATTTCTCCTAAGAAGATTGATGAAGAATCTTACGATAATTTGAGCAAAATCTTGGAAGATCATTATTCTCCTAAACGCCTTGTGGTCGCTGAGCGTTATAATTTTTATAGTCGATGCCAGAAACAATCTGAAAGTATTGCCGAGTTCGTAGTGGCAGTGAAGCATTTGGCTTCGACGTGTGATTTTGGAACATTCTTATCGAACGCACTGAGAGACAAGTTAGTTTCGGGAATTAAAAATGAAGCAATTCGTCAAAAATTACTTTCCGAAGAAATGGATTTGAAGAAAACGTTGGCTCTTGCACTCAGGCTTGAACAGGCCGAGAAACAAACAGGTCTATTCTCGAATACAAGTGTTCAGGAAATTTCCAGGTTTCAGGTCAAGAAGAATCCACGTGTTTCCAACCGAGGTTCAAATTTTCACAGTGCGGGATCTAAATCAAATTCAAGTGATGTGAAGGGAGATATGTCTCAGATAAATAAGTGTTTTCGTTGTGGCAATCCAGAGCATAGGGCTAATAATTGCCCGTATAGTAATTACAAGTGCCATGGGTGTAAAAAGTTGGGTCATATCAGTAAGGTTTGCAGGTTCAAATCAGAAAATCCAGTGAAAAATTCCATAAAGAGTGGTAAATTTAAAATCCATCAGATGGAAGAGGAAAATAGGCCTAGGCCTAGTGATGGTCCAGATGAAGTGGAGTTTGAAAGTTTGTCTTTGTACAGTATGAATTCTGGTGATAATGTTTCTGCCTTTAAGGTAAGCCTAGAAATAGAGAATGTATCCGTATTAATGGAAATTGATACTGGCTCGGCACTAACTGTGTGCCCTCAAGAATTGTTTAACAAATATTTCCCTAATGTACAATTGAGTACTGTAGATATCAAGTTGCTTACATATTCAGGCAATGAAGTCAATGTTATTGGACAAGCTTTAGTCAAAGTAGCCTACATGGACCAGACTTATCATTTACCTATGATAGTCGTTAAGATTGATCGTACGAACCAGCCTATGCTTCTAGGCCGTAGTTGGCTACAACATATTGCTTTTGACTGGAAATCTATTTTTACTTGTAATTTTAATAGCCTATCAGGCAGTGTTAAATCTAAGGGTGGTGAACCTAACCTAACCCTAGGTAAGGCCGTTGAGCCTAAAGTCGTTTCTGGTTTGAAACAAAAGTATGCCTCTGTGTTCAAAGGAGGTCCTGGTGAAATTAAGGATGTTGAGGTACGTATTGTGCTAAAAGAGGATGCTGTGCCAAAATTTTGTAAATATCGCCCTGTTCCTTACGCGTTGCGTAAATCAGTAGAAGATGAGATTGATAGGATGATTGCTGAAGGTATTGCTTATCCCGTTACTAGCTCTCAGTGGGCTACTCCTATTGTGGTGATTCAGAAGAAAAGTGGGGTGCGACTCTGCGGGGACTTTAAAGTAACCCTTAATCAAGTGATCCAGTCGGAACACTATCCCTTGCCTCAACCGGAGGACATTTTTGCTACTCTAGCAGGTTGTAGCTGGTTTTCAGTTTTGGACTTGGAGGCAGCGTATCTCCAACTTCCTGTGGCGGAGGAGTCCCAACCACTCTTGACTCTAACTACGCACAAGGGCTTAGTGCGTTTGCGACGTCTGCCGTATGGTTTGTCTTCGGCTCCGGGTCTCTTTCAAGCGGCCATGGACAAAATTATTGGTGGCCTACCTGGGTCAGTGGCATATTTGGATGACGTACTGGTGGGTGGATCTTCGCAAGAGGAAGCGTTGTCACGCTTGGAGAGTGTTCTTCAACGTCTTCAAAGTTATGGAGTCAAGGTAAATGATTCTAAATGTAAATTCTTACAGCCGTCAGTACAGTACCTAGGCTACTGTTTGTCGTCCAAAGGGATCAGCCCGCAGGAGGGTATTTTGGAGGCGATTCGGAATGCACCCGAGCCAACTTCAAAGGAAGAGTTAAGAGCCTATGTAGGCCTTATAAATTATTATGGGAAGTTTATTTGCAATCTTTCAGACAAACTTAGCTGTTTTTACGATCTACTTCGTAAGGATGCACCGTGGGTATGGTCATCCCAATGTTCTTCTGTTTTTCAAGAAAGTAAGACATGGGTATTGTCTTCAGATGTCTTAGTTCATTACGATGTAAATAGACCATTAGTTTTGACTTGTGACGCAAGTCCACGAGGTGTTGGTGCCGTGCTTTCGCACCTTATTGATGGAGTAGAGAGGCCTATTGCCTTCGCATCGAAATCCTTGAGTGCTAGTGAAAGAAATTATTCACAGTTGCATAGAGAAGCTTTGGCTCTTGTTTTTGGAGTAAAAAAATTCCATAAATATATTTACGGTAGGAAAAATGTCGTGTTACAGACTGACCATGCTCCTTTAGTGACAATCTTTGGAAATAAGCGGGGAGTTCCCTGTGTCGCCGCTGCGCGTCTTCAACGATGGGCCCTGATCCTCACCGCCTACAGTTTTGAAGTAAAGTACCGCCGTGGCTTGGACTTGCCACATGCGGACGCTCTTTCGAGATTACCGTTACCTGATGACGACCAATTGGAGCTGGATTCCAACTACATCTCTCATGTTTCTTCCCTGGTAGAGGCCTTTGACTGTTTCAAATTGGTGAGTGATCTCAATCCTATTACTGCTAAGGATATCGCTCGACTTACTGATACTGATCCTGTTTTGACAAAGGTCAGAGATTTCATTTGGCATGGATGGCGTGATAGTCAAGATTCTGAGCTGGTTGCTTATTTTCGAAGAAGGGATGAGTTGTCCGTAGAGAACCAGTGTGTTTTATGGGTTAGTTGAGTAGTGGTGCCAGAGAAACTGAGGAGTGCCGTTATCCAATTGCTGCATGATCAGCATCCCGGAATAAATCGGATGAAAATGTTAGCCCGAAGCTTTGTTTGGTGGCCGGGGATTGATAAAACCATTGAAGAGACTGTTCTCTCATGTCATGTGTGTCAGTGTACAAGGAATGCTGTGGCTAAGGTGCCATTATGTCAGTGGCCTAGAGCTTCAAGTAGGTGGCAGCGCATCCACGTGGATTATGCGGAAGACCCACTAACAAGACAACAAATGCTCATAGTTGTTGATAGTTTTAGCAAATGGCTAGAAGTGTTTATCATGAAATCTACTACATCGTTTAAAACCATTGAAAAACTGCGTACGCTGTTTGCGTCTTTTGGCCTACCGGAAGAATTGGTCAGTGATAATGGTCCCAATTTTGCCAGTGAGGAATTCAGAGAATTTCTGAGCAACAACGGTATTAAGTTTACGCTCTCACCTCCTTACCATCCTGCCTCGAATGGGGCTGCAGAAAGATTTGTACAGGAAGTCAAGAAGAACCTTAAAAGACAGGTTATGGCTAGTGGTTCTGAGACCATTTCTTTACAACATAAATTGGATAATTTCCTCTTTGCATTTCGCAACACACCCAGTACTGTCACTGGTGTTACCCCTGCGGAATTGTTCCTTCAATGGAAACCGAGAACTAAGTTGACAATGCTTAAACCCTGTTTATTGTCAGCCATTGATAAGAAGAGGGAGGCGCAGAAGGAAGCAGCCGATAACCATCGGGGACGTTTCAGATCCTTTGTGGAGGGAGAAAAGGTGCTTGTGAAGTCAGTACGGCAGGAGATCATTTCTTGGATTCCTGGGAGAATTTTGGAGCGGAAAAGTCCGTCTACTTATGTGGTGAGCGTCCTGGGAGGTAAAATACGTTTCTGCCACGCTGATCATTTGAGATCTAGTAAGTTGACTGAGGAAGAGGAAGTTACAGTCAATAGGCCGGTAGTGCAGTCTCCGATCAAATCCCCTGAGAACAAGTCTGCTGTGGGAATACAAACTCCGCCAGAGCGATCACCTCGTGTCATGGAAACTCGGAATACATCACCAAGACAACAACGGAGTGTATGCCTACCTAAGTCTCCAGCTACGCACACTACAGAAGAGCATCCCGAAGTGCAGCCCAGCCACACACACGAACTCAATAATCTTCTGGCCATGTAATATAGCCTTATATATTACAGTACCTTTATTTTATTAGTTTCATAAGTTATGTATTATTAAATGGCTTTATGATTCTCGTCACATTAGACAATCATTTCTAAAATAATATGTTGATGTAAATTAGGTTTGATTAAAAAATTAAACAAACCTAATATTACAAAGTAAACCGTTCACATTCTTTGTTCAAGGAAATAAATTTTAGACTAAATATTTTAACTCGTTACCATTAATTTAATAAGCACAAACAACTTTTTCGAAAAAAAAAAACATCTGCTGCCATTTAAAACTATAAATACTCCCGCCGCAGCAAACTTGCAGACTAACGAAGTTCCATTTGCATAATTGGATTTTCAATTAAATCTATTCAAATAATATTAGGTTTAACACCTAGAGTTTCTGCTACATGGCGGGTAATAAGGTGTGTTTTTTTAGCTCATAGGAAATAAATAAATATTCAAAGTTTGATCAAAATAGATCCTTAAACAAGCACAAAATTACAACAGTTTTGTTATTCTCCATAAAAACAACACAGGCATTTTAAATTTACAATTTATTGAGTTTTCTCCGTCCCCATTAAGCGTACCAAAAAACTTCACTAGACTAAATGATTTGTTTTTTAACCTCTCAAAATTGTCTAGAGAAAAATTGGAAAATCTTGTGAAACCCCCGTTTTTACCCCATAAACCACCCATAAAACCCGTTCGCATCGTCCGATCATGCTGATTCGTGAACTCATTCGAGTTTATCCGCCTTACATCTTCATATTCAAGCCAAATTTTATTTAAATTGTTTAAAAATGACTCAAGTTCACGGGCGTATATATATTATTTTGTTCAGTGGTCGAAAACTCCACCAATAATATGTAATATACAGACTTCTCTCAGAGGGAAATATATTTCTAACAGTACGCGTAGACTTTCCCCGCGATGCATACGCGCTGAGAAAAACGTTTGCTTGCTTACGTTTTTTGATTACGTACGTGCTTGCTTATTAATATATCGAGAAAAAATTTTGAACGAATAGTTTTTTGCCTCCAGGGAAATCAGAATAAAAAACATTTATCGGTTCCAGGTCTAGGTATTACCAAGCTACGGTAATATATGCTTCCCTATAGGGATATTCGCTATAGTTGCCTTTACCAAACATTGTATTTCATAAATGTTCATTAGTTTAAGAATAACTACTAAACACTATTTTGATGGGAGAGTTCCAATTTTTAGATTACATATATTCCCACTTACACCTACATATCCCAGTGAAAAAGAACAAGTAAAAGAAACAGCTTCTCATGCAAGTGTTCTAATGCGATAGGAAATTTTGTAGTATCAAGTGTCATATTTCTTAAAGTAAATGTCTATTAAATGTTAGGTTTCATACATTTAAGTCAAAATTATTAAAAAGTTGTTTTTGAAAAATGAACACTAAGTCAAGCATGATCACAAAACTTAGATGATTATAAGCGTCACAACAATTACTGTTCACGAAGTAAAACGTTTCATAAACAAAGGGTGAACATTTTAAAACAAGAAGAGGAAATTAAAGCATCCTCTGGGAGTTTTAGTTCTCTGTTTATGACTTTAATACAAAGTTTCATGCTCTGGGGTCTTCTGCAATTATCGTACATCCTTATTATTTGTTATGTGTTTAGTATTATGTGTGTCTTCTTTGTTTTCAGTGGTTAAAATAAGCTTCCAACACAATTTGTTGCTGTTTGAATTTACGCTAGTTAAAACACAAATTAACTATAATTGTAACTATGAACAAATGGGTCATCTTTGCATAAAAGTATGCTACAGTATATTTAATATAGTAATATCAGAAAAGACATCATGGGTCCCTTTATATTATAACAGAACACCTTATCAATGGTAAATATATGCGGTGGTGTTTCAACGTTCACTTTGGACACTAAAGTTTGTATTAAAGTAGTTTAAATGTGTGTATTGAAAACTCATTTCAGGTCTTTATGCTGCAGAATTAAATGAAATAAAAATTATTCTTAATAACTGTAAAAATTATTTGTTATTATGTGAGATTTTCTATAAGTACTATTGTTATTAATATGTTATTCATTTTTACACTCATAATATCAAGTATGGATTGGTGCAAGGCTGAAAATAGTCAAACAGATTTTGAAACAGTACACTGACTCCAAAAGTTACTTTCACCAATCTGTGACCGAACTTTGGAGATGTTAATTGGGCTGAAAGTTAGCTAGCCTTCAAAATTCAAGTCTAAATTTACTCTTTGTTCATAAGATATCGCATACCTTGAGTTGCACATTTCAACATTAAAATAACATGTCGTTTTATGTTTTAGTTTGTTGTGGTAATTCCAGATTCCCTTCACTTTTTCTTTTTACAAATAAAGGATTCCTAAATCATCTTTTCTAGCAGTAAAAATATTAAATGCCAATGTTATTTCAGCCTATGCTCAAACTTTACAATTATTCACAATTAATTAATAACCACATTTTACAGCTTATATTCTAATCTTATTGGGCCATTAACATATTTATTTACTGGGATATGCAAATAAAGTTTAGAAAGAATAAAATTGTATAAATATGTAAAAAAAAATGTAAGTATAAGAAGTCATACCATGTAAATTATTAAATGTTTCCCTTGATCATTTACGGTATCTTTGAAAGAGTTTAAATGAGAAATACCATTTTTATCGCATGCAAGTTAAGTTTATTTCATTATCTCTGTTGAGCAATGATAGTAAAATTCGATGATTTCAAATGAGTTGCACGATTTCAAATGATTTTAAATAACATAATACATAAAGAAAAGATTGACTACGGAACTATATCGGTCCGTCAATATCCCATATTACGACCCTAACACCTGCGACCTTTACAGTAAATCTCGCACCGTCTGTTCACTGGCTATCAAGTAGATTTATTTTTTAGTAACGTTGAATTTTATAACAATGAAAATGTATTTTTATGGAGTTCAAAAAATAAGTAATTATGAAGTACTATAACAATTAGAATGTTTAGTTGTTAAAACTATGTAATTTTAATACCATGTTTAATTTTAAAGGCGTATCTTGTCCTGCAGCCCTTCGTGTTATGAGAAATTATATTTTTTTGTAATTTTTCAATAATATTATTTACTTAATAGTGTTTAGGAAGCGTGTTAAATTATAGTACTGAAAACATTTCTTTGCAAGCCTGTCCCATGTCGAAAAGAGATGTTTTTGGTGTGGTTCGACAGTTTTACACAAAAAATTCAACTGTCCAGCTAAACAATACAAATGTGGGTTTTGTAAAAAAGTTGGTCATTTTCCAAATGTTTGCAAATCAAACAAAGTCAGTCAAATTGAATATGATGATACTGACCTTGAAACACCCATTGAAAATGTTTGCTCGCAGTACATAGACCCTCAAACATTCATTGGCATTGTAGGAAAAAACTTGCGTGATGATCCATGGTCTGTAGTGTTAAATATGAATGACAGTGATGATGTTCTTTTCAAAATTGATACAGGAGCAGACGTAACGATTTTGCCTTCCGACATTAAACTGAATAAGAAAATCAGGCTCACTCCCACATCCAAAACATTTAGTGGTGCAAATGGTCAAGCTCTGTCAATTTTAGGAACTGCTACTGTAAAATTATCACATAATCAAAAAACATGTTATGAGACTATATATGTTTCTAAGGGCACTTCCCAGCCACTTCTAGGTAAACCTGCAATAACAAGTTTGCAGTTACTTGCTCGAATCAACGAAATACAGCCATCCAGTAATGACTGGTATGACAGACACCCCAAACTGTTTGAAGGCTTAGGTTCCATTGATGTCAAATACAAAGTAGAACTGAAAAATAACGCCAATCCATTTGCAATCAACACGCCTCGTCGGATTCCTCTTCCTCTTTGGGAATCTACTAAAGAAGAGCTTGAAAGAATGGTGTCAATGGGGGTGATCGCTGAGGTACACCATGCCACAGACTGGTGCTCTCCAATGGTTGTTGTGCCAAAGAAGGACTCTAACAAAGTTCGCATTTGTGTAGATCTTACTAAATTAAACAGATGCGTCAAACGAAGATACTATCCTATTCAACCCATCGACATAACACTTGCCCAAATCTCAGAAGCAAAATGCTATTCTAAATTGGATGCTAATAACGGATTCTGGCAGATCACATTGGACGAAGAATCCCAAGATTTGACAACGTTCCTGACACCGTTTGGACGTTTTAAATTTCTGAAACTACCCTTTGGAATAACATCTGCACCAGAAGTGTTCCAAGAATGCGTGAATCGAACCCTTAAAGGTCAAATGAATGCACTTGCGCATATGGACGACATAATTGTTTGGGGGAAAACTCAACAAGAACATGACTATTTCTTAGAAGAAGTACTTACCAAACTTGAAGGTGCTGGCTTCACCCTAAACAAAGACAAATGCTTGTTCTCTCAAACCTCGCTAACCTACTTAGGTCACCATTTATCTGAATCAGGAATCAAAGTCGATGAGACCAAAGTCGAAGCTATACGAAAAATGGCTCCTCCAACAGATATTTTAGGAGTTCAAAGGTTACTTGGTATGGTGAACTTCATTGGCAAATACATACCTAATAAAAGCCGGTTACTAAAACCCATTACTGACCTACTAAGTAGAAAAAACGAATGGTGTTGGGGTTGTGAACAACAAAAAGCATTCGATGAATTGAAAGAATTATTGGCTTCTCCACCTCAACTTGCATTCTATGATAAAAATAAACCGACTATGATTTCTGCTGACTCTTCTACACAAGGCCTGGGTGGAGTACTTTTACAACAACAATCAGATGGGAATTGGAAGCCTATTTCTTATATTTCACGCACTCTGAGCGAAACTGAACGAAACTACTCTAACATTGAACGAGAAGCTCTATCATTAACATGGAGCTGTGACAAGTTTAAAGACTACATTGTGGGCAAGCACATCACGCTAGAAACAGATCACAAACCTTTGGTAAGTATTTTGACTACTAAAGAGATCAATG